TATAGGCTGTCAATTAAACTGTCCACGATCTTTCTACTCGATAATGTAAGCTCAGAACACTCGCCTGCTCTCAAACAATCCCAGACACTCAAACGGCATTTTAAATGGCCATGTCATCAACCTACTGTAGTAGCCCGCGTTACGGAAGTAATATGCGCCTTATATGTATCAAACGTTCGGAACACGAGACTCCATAATGTGTATCAAGTTTTCTTAATGGCTTCCAAGATATAGTTATAGATGCTTTTGGGCGATGAGAAAAGTAATGGGCAAATCACCTTTGCAATAAATACAATCATGAATCGAAGTAATTATTGCAAACAAAATGTATTAAACATGTACCGATGTAACCGTAACGTGGGCATATTGTGAGGAAACGGTAGCTTAGAGAAATAAGAATTACTTTCCAGGAGTACATTACGTACAGTGTACCTATTACAGACATGTGCACATTCCATTCACATTGCACTTAATGGCGTTTCCCTTCAGGGCGGGAAGCTGTCGAACACAATAGCGGGACATTTTCGTATAGAAATTGCATTGTCCATCTCATACGTAGTGTACGTCTAATGGTGGTACGGCTCAAAGTTGGCGTTTTCGAGTTAACGACTTAATAACCGACAATCATACATGTGTACATTAATGTCATTGACGGCAATTGAATACGCTAATTTTTGTGTAGAAACACCCACTCATTTCCTTAAAAAATTATGTGCGGACAAATGTTCATATTCCGAGATTAGTGGCGATAATTTACAAATTCGATTAGAGTAAATTTCCGTAGTGCAGGGCTTCACTGTACTAGTCAGCGTATATACAGACAGATAATTGATTTAATAGCAGTACCATAAACACACATTGTTGGTGACAGCAATAATAGATACGGACTAGATATCATATTCCGGCTAGTTCACCAGAATTTGATGCATTGATTATATTATTAGTATTGTTAAAATAATAATAATCATCATCATCATCATCATCATCATCAGCAGCAGCAGCAGCAGCAGCATCATCATCATCATCATCATCATCATCATAATTATCATCATGATAATGATATTGATGATGATAATGGTGGTGATGCTGATGATTATAATTATTATTATTATTATTATTATCATTATTATTATTATTGTTATTATTAGTTAGATTTCTAAATAAGAAAGTAACGTCACCTGTTCTCGTCCGTCCAATCATAGCGTGGAAATGGATCATCGTCGTTTCCGTTCAGATCTGTGCTGGCATAGGGATCCTACATAAAATTGCACATTCAGAGATTCAATTGTGAAAAACAAATCGCGTTTTCATCAGTATTAGCAGTAATGTCGTCGTTGTCGTCAGTGCGGTGATCATAGTGATCGTCGTCATTATTATAATCATAACCATTATCTTCATCAACATAATAATAATAATAATCAATTATTATTATTTAAAATCAATTATTATCAAAAAACGGATAATCATCATCATCATCACCATCGCCAACAACAACAGCAGCAGCAACAACAACAATAATAACAACAACAACAACAACAACAACAACAACACATCTCTACTTCGACATCGCCTAGCTAAGAAATGCTATATATTTTCATACTATTCTATACATTAATTCTATACTATTTCATCTTTCATGTAGTTAAAATGAACTACAAATCAGTGCTACAAACGAGGAATTGTGTCAGATCTCACATTGTGACTACGCTATACTGACACAAAGGCTATTGTATATAGTTATCGTCACGACCCATGAAGACGTTTGTAATTGGCTATTTTTTTTCCGCGACAGAACGCTAAAATCGGGCAAAAAACAAATAAAATATGAGCAGTCGGGTTTTTTAAAACGAGGGTTGGTTATCAATATATCTTTATAAAAAGCCAGAAAAAAACGAGGCAAAGGTGCCATATATTGTCTTCCTGTTGATACTCACGTAGTTCTGCTGCAGATCAGTGTGATTGTGTTCCAATCCTGAAAAGCAGCGACGCGATTAGCAATTTAGGCTAGAGTGAATGAATGGCTCGCTCGTGTGCGCATTCATCACAGAGTAATCATTTCACGGTGATCCCCGCAATATACACGATCAGCAGCGTAGAGCCGAGCTGCCAAACATGATTTCTCATGCATGCACGCACGCATGCATGCGCGTACGCATGCCACACGTACGCACGCGCGCGGTAGTCGCCTCCTGCGAGCGCACGCAGTGCCATACACATGAAATGAAAAATTTTCATGTCAAAACTATTCCTACATATGGACTTTATTCTTATGTGAGTGTACAATTTCAACATAATTTCACTTGTCACACGCAGGCACACATGCGCGTACGTGCGCCCTCACACACGCACAAAATGCGCGTTCTCGCGCGCGATGGATCTGCTAACGATCGAACGGTTCGGCGTTAATCGATATAGAAGCAGGTAATTCAGTAAGTGTCTCCCCTAATAGGGCTTATTGTTGACAAGTCGTGGCTGAGATTCGTGCGCGACGGGATTTTCACAGATTTCCACAGATCGCGCGGAAACAAGCGCAGAAGAGAAAATTACAGGGTTAACGAGTGAAAAAGAGCGAGAGAACGAGCGCGAGAGCGAGAGAGAAGCGGGTGTAGTAAGCGGGAGAGAAATGTATTACGGGTGAATGTGTGAGAACAAGGGATAAAGAGAGAACGGGGAAGTAGGAGCCCGCTGTATGGAGAACCAGCGTTAGGGCGATGGACATTGGGAAAAGATTAGAGATAAGAAGTGACAATTAGAGATGTTATGATAGGGGTATACAGTATAGAGAAAACATATAAACAGAGAAGGCAAAGTCATAGCCAAAGCAACTTACTAAAACTAGAAAAATAGTGAGCGGCCGAGGAAAGAGGGACAGAGGAAGAGAGCAAGATGGAAGTGAGAGAAAAAAAAGAGAGAAAGAGTGAGAGAGAAAAAGAGAGAGAGAGAGAGAGTGAGAGAGAGAAAACGAGAGAGCTAAATGTCTAAACTCTGTTGGATTAGGCTGAACTTCCAAGTGTTTCACAGCTCATATCGGCGTAAGCCTATTGTAATTGTGATGAGCTACTTTGGTCTCAAACCGTTACGCCCGTGGCACTGAATCATTGAAGCGGCGTTGCCATCCGTAGACGGGGCGTAAGTACATCCTATTCGTCGTATAGCCTTTGCTGAATATTTACTGAGCTATTTACAAGTGGCCAATCCAATGAGATTGGGTTTTCACTCAGGTGACGTTGCCTAAAATTTCTAACTGCGGAAATCACCCAGTGCCGTTAAAAATAACCTCGAGCGTTTATAATTTGATTACACGATTCGTGACGTAACCAGATAGCACCTAGCTTGCACCCTTTTTCTCTTGAACCTTGATATTATCAAGAGCTAATAATACCTAGAGTGTACAACGGAAAAACGGGAAAATAGTGCTATTTCACGACTACATTATTCTACTTTGCCTGCGAGTCTAGAATAATTTCATGGTATTGCATTAAGCAGAATTCCTTGCTCTCTACAACAAGACCAACCGCTTGTCAATACGATACTCCTATGCGGAGATATCGGCTCCTAAACCTCCCCTCCCACATGCCTTATGCCGCTTCGCATCCACTTTATTCAGCTACCTACACGCGTCTAAGCATTTTGGCTATCGGTTTCCGTCACCGCTTGGAGCGCTGATAATTGATGTCACATGCCCAAATTTGGTACTCTTACTACACCATATAGTAACTGAGCTGCGTTGTAAAAACTTGATGGAGCCGGCTCCATCATGACGGGCATTAGCCGTGCTAGGAAAGATAATGGAAGATAAGGGCATAGGCGATGCCCCCGAAAGTCACCTATGATAACCGAAGTACCGTTCATTCATAAAGTTATCGCGGAAAAACCGAACTTTCACGAAGCAATGCTTAGACGCGTGTAGGTAGCTGAATAAAGTGGATGCGAAGCGGCTCGCGTACACAAGCAACCGAATGGCGTGTTAATGTCGAAATTCCGCTCTTGTATTGCCGCCTCAATTCTTAATCCACATTCCTCATTTATTAGCCAAAAATTCTTCCTATGCGAGACGCACATCAAAAGCATATTATGCCACCGGCGTTTTACTTCATGAATGCGACAGAGGCGACCGCACTGACGTCACGGATGCTATTAGAACCTCCCGCGACGTTGCTATCGTCGGAGGGCGGGAATAAAGGTTACGCCGCAGACGGCAGGATATTGCCGCTGTTCGGTGCAAGGCTGAGCGGCCACCACGTGCCGCGGCGGCGTTGGAGATGTAATTGCCGACGCACGGGGCGGCCTTGGAAACGATGATTGCAGAATTACGCGACAAATTTGCGTTGGACAATGTGTCGTACCGACAAACAATAGCAGCTTGGCGGGACGCTGTGCTCGGCTTTTGCGCTGTCGCGCGGCTACATCTGACATTTACCTGCAATGATCTTTGATGAATGCTTGCACGACCGCTAACCACGTGAACTGAGAAAGAGATGACTACCCCACACGCGTACTTATTCGCTGAATATGTATATATATCAGCGCCACTCATGCCGAGTAGTGATATGCATGGAATTTATATACGCGACGTCCCGATATCGAATCTATATAGTATGCCCATAAAAATCACGTGACTACTTTGTACAATATGTCGGAGTTGGCGTCGGTTTTCTTGCCAGGTGCTTTTGATGTGAAATCGGGACGGGCACACGCACAGTCGTATTCAGCGCAAACAAGCATTCTGTGCGTATAGCAGGTATTAGTGTTTTCTAAAACGTACGTACGCGCAGCAGCCGGTAGTGAATAAGACGGACACGTCGGCGTTTATGCTACTATTTTCCGCTCACGCAGACGTTGACTCCGTTCATAACACTCCGTTGGAATCGATCGCTGAGTGGAATTACATCTGCAAGCATGAGAGATGGCGCCGCGGCGGTACCTTGACTTATGATGACAAACACGCGCGCCGTCGAAGTAATATAATGCGACCGCATGCGGCGCTGGTGCAAGTTCACCTCCTATGCGCGCGTTGTAAGCTACTCCGACGCCGCACTTGTTGTTATTGGCGACCATAGCTATCTCTCCGGCACATCGTGTTCCATGTCTGAAATCAAAAAGTGCAATGGCAAATAGATCAGTTGGGCGGGATCAGGTCGTGGTCCTATTTTCATTTACGTGTGTTCTCTCTCTTTCTTTTTCCATCCATTCATCTATCCATCCATCCATCCATCCATTTATCTATCCATCCACCCATCCATCCATCCATCCGTCCATCCATTCATCCATCCATTAATCCACCTATCCATCCATCTATCCATCCATCCATCCATC